TCCAGGTAATGACACAAGGGCCATCATGCAGCCTGGGATCTAGAACAAGCACAGCCCTCTGCGCAGGTCTCAGCACTAGGGAGCTGGAGACAGGAGAATATGGCTGCGCAGAGAAGGGAATATGAGGAGGAGGAGACAGGAACTGAGAACTTCTCCCTCTGAGGATTCATGGGGACAGGATCGCCATTTCAGCTGCGTGGAGGTAAGATCTACCGGCTTGGCTGCGCTGCTTCTCTGGTCTGCAGCTTGAACGAAGTGTCTGTCTCTTCTATTATTTGCGCTACACCCCCCAAGCCAGGCCCTCTCGCAGGCCACCTCACACAGCACAGACAGGTCCAGGCCATGTCGCTGGAAGCCCAGCCTGTTCTCTGCCTGCCAGGTGTGCGGTCCAGAGTCCCCAGCTTTCACCCGGGGCAGCTCCAGTGCCAGGGGTCTGGAGCCCACAGGGCTGGACCAAGAGAGGATTCGGTGCTCCAGGCTTCAGCTCAGCGAGGCAGGGGGCTGGCTGTTGGCAGCACAGAGGAGGCACAGAGACTGGCCTTGCTGGACTTACAGATGTGAGGTGTTCCCATGCGGTTCTGAAATCTAGCTGGGGTGGAGAATGAATCAGAGACACAGGCAGAGACAAAGACAGAGCAGAGGATGAGATAGAGAAAGGGAGTAGGAGAAAGATGAGAGGAGGGATGAACCAGGCCTGGTGTGAGCCTATCCCTCTACTACTCTCATTTCATTGGGGACGGACTCCCCACACTAGCAGCGCCCAAGACAGGATAGCCTGTCAGTGATAGAAACTGAGGGCAAAAGCCAAAGTCAAGACTAAGGGCCTGGGGCTGGAGAGATGGCTCAGAGGTTAAGAGCATGGGCTGTTCTTCCAGAGGTCCTGAGTTCAATTCCCAGCAACCACATGGTGGTTCACAACCATCTGTAATGAGATCTGGGGGCCCTCTGCTGGCCTGCAGGCATACATGCAGGAAGAACACTATACATAATAAATCTTTTTTTTTTTTTTTTTTTTTTTTGGTTTTTCGAGACAGGGTTTCTCTGTATTGTTTTGGAGGCTGTCCTGGAACTCACTCTGTAGACCAGGCTGGCCTCGAACTCATAGAGATCTGCCTGCCTCTGCCTCCTGAGTGCTGGGTTTAAAGGCGTGTGCCACCACCGCCCAGCTTACATAATAAATCTTTATTTTATTTTTTTTTATTTAATATGCATTGGTGCTTTGCCATGAGTGTCAGGTCCTCTGGAACTGGAATTACAGACAGTTGTGAGCTGCCATGTGGGTACTGGGAGTTGAACCTAGGTCCTCTGAAAGAGCAGTCAGTGCTCTTAACCACTGAGCCAACTCTCCAGCCCTATATAATAAATCTTAAAAAAAAAAGACTAAGGCCCCTGCCCTACTTCAGAGGTGCCAGCTTGCTGTGCCCGTGTGGGATGGCAGGGATAGGAATCTCACAGGGGCCATTTTTGATTTGGGATGGTTTCAGACAGGGTCCTACCTTTGAACCCAGACTGGCCTCAAACTTGCAATCCTTATGTTTCAGCTTCCCAAGTACTGGAATGAGGGACAGCTTTCTTGAGACTTCTGTGCTGTTGTAGAGGCTCCACACCCGTCCATCACCTTACCACCTCTCAAAGGCCTCGAACTCACAGAGATCCGCCTGCCTCTGCCTCCCGGGTGCTGGGATTAAAGGCGTGCGCCACCAACACCTGACAAATTATTCATTTCTTGAGTAGACAATCCAATGATAGGACACAGCCAATTAATATCACCCAATAATTTTTTTTTTTTTGGTTTTTCAAGACAGGGTTTCTCTGTGGCTTTGGAGGCTGTCCTGGAACTTGCTTGGTAGTCCAGGCTGGTCTGGAACTCACAGAGATCCACCTGCCTCTGCCTCCCAAGTGCTGGGATTAAAGGCGTGCGCCACCAACGCCCGGCTTTCACCCAATAATTTTTGAAAATCATTAAGTGTATGTAATTGGTCTCTCCTAGTCTGTACCTTTTGAAGGCATGAAGTAGTTGTGGAAACCAGCTAAGGCTTGGCCTTGTGAGAGGCCACAAGAGGCTCTCAGAGTGAAGGTGTAGCCAGAGTAACAGAAGAAGCCCCAGAATTGGTGAAAGTGTGGCCCGTTTTGAGTTTTGGAGATGCCTGCTGCATGGATGACCACCAAGAACAGCAGCACCGGTGGAGTGGAGCCTGCCAGAGCTCAGACGAGCTGTGTGTTTTGCAGAGAATGGAGCTGGAGAATGACCCAAGCCCTTTACAGGGTCCCAAAGGATGGTGATGGATCTGACATTGGACACGGTGTTGTTTACACAGTTGGGAGTTTGATTTTGATTGTGACTGTACCATGTTCCTCACTGATGAGTAAAAGCAATCCAGAGACATTAAACTTTTTTTTCTCTTTTTGAGATAGGGTTTCTCTGTGTATCCCTGACTGTTCTAAAACTCACTCTGTAGACTAGGCTGATCTCCAACCTCAGAGATTTGCCTCTGCCTCCTGAATGCTGGGATTAAAGGCGTGTGTCACCATGCTTGGCCTAATTTGGAGTATTTTATATTGCGATATTCCTATTAATGTGAGATCTTGGGAATGAATAAGAAAGGAAAGGTTGCCAGATGGTAGTGGTGCACATCTTTAATCCTATCACTTGGAGGCAGAGGCAGGCAGATCTCTGAGTTCAAGGCCAGCCTAGTTTACAGAATGAGTTCCAGGACACACTCCAAAGCTACACAGAGAAACCCTGTCTCAAAAAACCAAACAACAGGGGCTGGAGAGATGGCTAACAGGTTAAGAGCACTGGCTGCTCTTCCAGGGGTCCTGAGTTCAATACCCAGCAACCACATGGTGGCTCACAACCATTTACAATTCAATCTGGTGCCCTCTTCTGGCATGTAGGCAGAACACTGTATATGTAATAAATAAATAAATCTTAAAAAAAAAAACCAAACAACAAACAGGGCAGTGGAATCGAACACCTTTACTTCCAGCACTTGGAAGGCAGAGGCAGTTGGATCTCTATGAGTTCAAGACCAGCCTGCTCTACAAAGATAGGAAGAAGGATCCACCCTCTTCTCCAGGGCCTTTCTGCAGGGTAAGGAGCCCACCACCTATCAGCTACACAGGTCACCCACTGAGGAGAGTCAGATTTGTCATGCCATAGAATCTCTGTTTTTTGAAAGGTCGAATTCAATTTACAACTGAAGATAAACTTCGCTGGGATGACAGGTGCCACTAGGCTGGAGTGTGCAGGTTCAGGGTCTGTGCCTGCCTGGCAAGCACTTTCCCAGCTGAGCGGCATCCACAGCCCTCCTATGAGGCTTCTGATGAGATCCCCCACAGAGCTGTTTTGAGCACCTCTCTTTGATCTGCTTTTTGTGAGGGCTACCTCTTGTTTCCTGTTCCTACTGTTTGAAGTCTTACCTGAGTTTCCCTAGGGATCAAAGCCTATGTGAACTGAGTTTTAGGAAAACCCAGGACACTGGTATTCAGAACGGAGAATCTGTATTTGGCATTGCCCCTGCGGAGGGGTGGCTCTTAGAGCAAAGACTTTGGATACAAACTGACTTCCTAAAGGTGTGAGTTGCTAACAATGAAGGGCCCTTTGCTCAGTGGGTTCAGTCTGTAGAGAGGAAAGCACTTTGCAGCTGGAAAAGGCTAAATCGGGACTGGAGAGATGCTCAGAGGTTAAGAGTACTGGATGCTCTTCCTGAGGTCCTGAGTTCAATTCCTGGTAACCACATGGTGGCTTACTACCTTCTCTAATGAAATCTGGTGCCCTCCTCTGACTGGCATGCAGACAGAACACTGTATACATACTCAGGTGGTAATGGGCTTTCACTCAGATCCTTGTTCTGGTGGACCTCATTTGCCGCTGTGGGAAAGTTCAGAGTAGAACCAGGGTAGGGTGCACGGTCAGGGTGTAGGCAACCCGGTAGGAGGAGCTCCAGTGCCAGTGTTGGAGTGTTCTACAGGGATCCTGACTCCACACAGGGGCCACTGTCTTCAGGGGATTACTGGAAACCCGCTGCACAGATTCAAGTGTCCCTGTGGGTGACCCCAGGACTCAGTCCTTAGAAGGTCAAACTGATGCCATGTTGCTCAACATGGCCACTATGAACCGCACTAACCCAAATGTACCTCTTAGCTGGCCAGTTACCATGGGAACTAGATTCCTCAAGCAGACAGGACTTTGCAGGCGCAAACCTGATCCAACGTCAGACCTTGCTTTGGGGAGCCCACTCTGGAACCTTTGTTTTTTGGGCTCATAGCACCATGTGTCTGACCTCAGTGGGCTTCCTCGGGGCAGCCCCATTAGTTCTCTTCTTCCCTTAAGTCTTCTCTTGGTTTCTTTAGACTGTGACTCCACTCACAGCAGTCCTTGTCCCCACACTGTCTGGTGTAAGGCTGTGAAACACCAGGTGGCTGCTGGGGACTGAACTCAGGTCTTCAGGAGGAGCAGTGCGCACTCTGAGCTGCTGGCTTCCTGGGAAGGATCTATTCTGGAGATTGCAGTCAGGCCCTCACACTTGCCGAGCAAGCATTTTACACAGCGCCGTTTGCCCAGCCCTCTGCCCCACTGCTGGAGTGGTCCAGCCCTGATGGTGTCCTTGGTGTCTAAATGCTATCACCACCTTTGGCTTGTCTTTCTTCTGCTGCCAATGTAAACAGTAATCAGCCTCAGTTGCAATGTGGTGCCTGTGTCTTTACTGATGGGTCAATCATATCTCATGGTCTTGCCAAGTGGATGTACTTGACAGAGAACAAATATTACTAGCTGCCTTTTGCTTTGCTTCATTGTTTTGTTAGAGATGGGCTCACTCTGGGGCCCAGGCTGGTTTCAAACTTAGACCTTCTGCCTCAGTCTCCCAAAGGTTGGGACTGCAGTCATGAGCCATCACAGCCAACTTCTTTCTCTTTGGTTCATTCTCAGTTGTCTTTATGACTGCCCGGAGACTCCCTCTCCCCAGCGTCCCCTCTCCAAGATATGACACACAGGCCACAGGAAATTCTGCATTTTATTTGTGCCCACAACCCCTGGAGGATCAGCCCCCACTAAATGCAACCCCTCCCCAACACCTTCACAAAACCCTGATCCTCTCCCAAAGCTAAAGTGATCCCCTAGTTACCAACTACGGCCACCCTCCTCCCCCTTGGGCAGCATCTCTCCGGTACTGAGGACTTGACTGACTTCTCACGTGTCCTGTGTCCCCTCCCTGACTAGGTTCTCATCAGCAGTTACCCTGAGTGGCTTCCTGTCTTACCTCCATGCCAGGCCTGACAGCCCCCCATACCCAACTAGGACTACCTGCAAAAATACACTGTTTTAGACTCCAGAAACCAGGGATCAGGCCGTGTCCTCAGATTCCCTGAGGGCCTTGGTTTCTCAGTGAAGGGCACAGAAACTGACTAAACCAATAACCCGTAAGGGGAGTAGGCAGGAAATCCAGACATAGATGATACAGAAGAGCGGGATGGAGGGTACACGTGAGGCTAGGGGCAGAGGCATGGTAGGCCTCCCTCTCCTTGCCTGGACCTGCACCCTAGGTGCTTCGGGTCCTCTGGCTGCGGGCCTTGTACACCTCAATTAGCAGGTCCTTCACATACTGAATCTCCCGCTCCACTGACTCGGCCCTCTCCCTCAGCTCCCGGTTCCGTGCCTCTAGCCCCTGGCACTCGCCCTCCAGGGCCTCGCCCTCTGCCCGCTTCCTCTGGCGGTACCTGAGAGCCGCTGACTTGTTCTGATCTCTCTTCTTCTGCTTGCGGTCCCCTCGGGTGGTGGCAGGACTAGGATAGGGGGCTGGGCGGGAGGGTGAGGGCAGAGGGGCCAGAGGAGGGGGAGGCTGCTGGGGGACAGGCAGGGTTGCCAAGCCTGCATCCCCTGGCCCAGCGTCACTGCGGCAGTAGACAGCCAGCAGGTCCAGGGTATCCAGAGCAGGGGGCTGAGGGAGGTCAAAGGTGGGCAGGGGCAGGGGCAGGGAGGGTGCTGCTGGTGGTGGTGGGGAGGGTGGTGGGAGGAGTGGGGCATCAAGGAAGAAGTCTTCCATCTGCTCTAGCTCCTTCTTGAGCAGGGAAGCCATGGCCTCCAGGTCAGGGGGTGCTGGAGAGGGTGGGGGGAGGGTGCCTGACGGCAGAGGGGCCTCCAGGGGGAGAAGCGCCGTGAAGTCAACTCGCTCTGTCATCCAATCAGAGAAGCCATCACCTGAGGATGGAGGGAGGACATAAAAGGCTCCTGAGGTCCGTTCTTTACCCATGTGGAGCTCACTCATGTCCCACTCACTCAATGTAACAAGTGACCAGCCAGCCAGCCGTTGAATTTACAGACCTGTCAGCAGACCAGTAAGTCAGGGAAGAAACCAATGGACCAGGCAACCAACCCACCCACCCACCCACTAGTCAAGAAGCAGTCAACAGACCAACTAGTGTACCCACCAAGCCACGAACCAATGAATTAACCAACTAATGAGTGAATCATATTTACCAGTCAACCAACCAATCTACTACCCAATGAATCAGGCAACCCAGTCAGTCGTACAAGAAACCATTCAACCAATCAACCAACCAACCAATTCATTAATCAATGAACAAGTCAGACAATCAATCAGCCAATCATACTTCACCAAACAACCAACAGACTGATCCACTAACAATGAATGGGGCAGCTAACCAATCAGCCAACCATACAGTTCAGTAGCTAACCAAGTGACCCCAGAAGTAAGCAATGAACCAGTGCCCAGAGTTCACCAGTCAGCCAACCAAACAGTTCACCAGACAACTTGTTAAAAAACTAATCAACTCATTAACCAGTGAACAAGCCAATCAATGAGTCAAATTAGTCAATCAAGTCAGTCAACCAACCAATTAGCCAACCACTCAGTGAAGCAGTCAACCAACTAATGATCCACTCAACAGTCAGTTACTACTTCTGTAACCACTGTCTTTACTATAGAGCTGATTGACTGTACTCCTATGCCTATGTTTTCTCTCATTTACTCTTATTTATTTGAGACAGGGTCCCATGTAGTCTAGGTTGGCCCTGGACGTAGCTGAGGACAGTCTTAAACTTCAGATGGTTCTGCCTCCCTCCCAGGATGCTAAGATTACTCTCTCTCTCTGGATCTCTCTTTTTTGCTTTTTCTCACACAAACACACTCTCTCATTCCATCTTTATTCATTCTTTTTTTCTGTTTTTGAAAAGTGTAGATTGGCCTGAAACTCGTGGGTTCAAGAGGCTGGGAAGCCTCTTGAAAGGGGGAACTATAGGTATGTGCCACCAGGGGCAGCTAATATATCCCTGCAATTCCAGTGTGGGCCAAGCATCCGTTATAGTCAAGGGAGAACGATGTCTACCCCAGAGTCTCTTAGATGGGACCACCTCAGGCCTTTTCATGGCTCCTTTCTTCTCATCCCTTAGCCCAAAAGTTAGATGCTGTCTACTTGGAGGTTATATGACTTCTCAACTAGGTCTTTCAGTTCAACAGCTGCTTTCCACTTCTCTTTCTTGTCTGTTTCCTGATGTTCCACAGCTTAGGGGTCCCTTGCTCTGAACCCTGAGCACCTAGAACAGAGCTGGGCACACTGCAGGCCCTCAGTACTGATCTTGGGAATGAATGAATACATTCTTTCTTTTCTTGCCCTCCCTCCATGCCTCAAGCTCAACCCACCTCTGCCCTCTACCTGTTCTTACCTGCCAGGGGCTCTCCCCCCCCTGGAAGCCCGCCCTCCAGGGCTCCCCCAAGGACCTCATAGGGGCCCAGGGGGGCAGGGGCCAGGGGGAGTTTCCCATAGTCTACGAGCCAGCCCAGCCCGCTAGCTGGGAGCAGGGCCCTGTCCAGTTCCAGCCCCAGGGTGGCCAGGAGTGACATGGCTGAGGCACAGGCGCAGGGCACCGATGGCAATGGAGGCTGCGCCAACAGTGGGAAGGCAGCTTGCGAGACTCTTCAGCTGGGTGAAGGCAGGCACCAAGACGAAGACGGAGGACCTGCGAAGGAGGAAAGAGGGACAAGCGAGGGTGGGGTTGGGTTAGAAGCGGCTTGGCCCACAGGCCCCTCACAATTCACTTCTCTCCACACATTCCCAGGAGAATTCTTGAAGATTCCCGAGCCCCATTTCCCCCCTCAACGCAGAAACCCAGTGTTTTCCTAGGGGAATCACCTCCAGCCCCTCCTACCCACCTCATCTTATTCCTCTTCATAAAGATTTGAATCCCAAGGGAATTTCCTTCTAGCCGAGCACCTTCCACATCAGTATTTCCTTTAGGTTACACCCCCTTTAGAGCCCGCCCACCCCACAGGGGTTCCCGGAGGAATTCTGCCATGCCTGGGCCCTTCAACAGTGTCACACACTCGAATCCCACTCTTCCCGTAAAATTTAGGAGACTTCGACAGGCGCTACAAGAAGCCCCGCCCACTCGCCTGTCGCCCTCCGTTCCCTCCCTCAACGCGCAAGTCCCCAGAAGCCCGGTCCCTGCGGTGCTAGCTCCACCTCCTTCAAGGCGTTCCTAAGGCTTGCCTTCCCTGTCAATCAAAGCCAGTCCCCGCCCCAGCAGGTGCCTGATTGGAGGGAAGGTGGGCCCGAGTCAGCGCCCCGAGGAACCGGCCTGTCTAAACCCCATCCTCCCTTTCTGCGTGTTAGCCTGGCGTCAAGGCGCATGCTCACATCCTGGAAGCGGACCATTTGTAACCAGTTACCGGCTGCCCTTCCTAGTTCAGGCCTCGGGTAGGCTAATGCGCGTGCGCCACAGGGTGCGGGTCGCATCCTGAGTGGGGGGAGGAAGAGGAGCTGGGAAGTAGCGCGCAGGAGCAAAGGCGCGCGAGCCGTCTCTAGGCCATCCCCTCAACTCTCCGGAAGCCACGCTCCTCCACGGCTCGAACGAAACGCGCATGCTCAGCGGACCCGCCGGCCACCATTTTTCCCTCTTCTGCGCCTGCGCGGCCGTAGCTCGGCCTCCCCACCCCGCACGAGGCTGGGTCCGTGAAGCCCCGCGAGCTCAGTGAAAGGGCGGGAAAGGCGGTTGGAGAGGGAGGGGCGAGCGGTTACTCACTCCATGGCTGCGGAAAGGAGAGGGGGCGACGGCGGCGGCGGCCTCGGGTGAACAGACGGTGGGAGCGGAGAGTGCAGGCGCGGTGAGCGCGGAAACCGGGCCGGGGGCACGACGGGATCACGGCTACAGAGCCATGGCGGGGGCCGAGCGGGCGGAGGCGGCGCGGCGGGAGCGTTGGGAGAAGTGGTTCTGCGGAGATGGAGAATGAGGCGGCCCCGGGGCCCGGGGACAGATATACCGGGAGCGGCGCAGTGCGGGCCTCCTGGATCCCTCCGCGCCCCGCCCCCGCGTGGCCCCGGCGGGGCGGTGGCGACCCTGGGCCCGCCATGCCGCCCGGGCCCTCCCCATCCCGCACACTCACGACCAGCTAGCTCATCTCTCGTTCCCTCTCCCTGCTTCACGAATTTGCCGCCGGTCCCCAACCGGCGTCGCCTCCTGTGAGCCCTCGTGGGATGGCGATTTCAAGCTAGCTTAGGCTTCGTAGCGAGTTCAAGCCGCAACAGCAAGGAAATGTCCCCAAAACGGTGTTGGATAGGTGTGTAAACCACAAACGGAGCAGCCGTGGAAGGCAGGCCACGAAGTCCTAATCACAGGGCTCTTACTTACCCTGTGTTTGTGTGTGGCGGTTTGAGGAATCGTTTCTCCCGTCACGTGGGTCCCAGAGATGGAACTCGGGTCACCATGTTTGACAGAGTTTTACTCGCCGGGTCATTTCACCACTTCCATCCAGTGCTGTGTTTTACTTAAGAACCTGGGGGCCTATTTTCACCTATCTCCGTCTCTCCACCCAGACCCTTAGTGTGGTCACACTCTGTGCCCACTCCCAAGGTTTTTGTTTCTAGTTATAGCCTTTGTCCTCATGCTACAAGCTGGTGCTCAGCCCCCGCGACGACCTCTTAGCTCTCATATCGGATGGTTCATTGTTTTGCCCCTTTCTCTGGTTTCCTTAAAGTCCTTGATCTCTTGCTGGCCCCACTAGATAATTTTCTCCTGGCCTTGTCTAAAATTGGATGTTTATAACCCACTTAGTAAAAGAAGCCTTATTGCCCTTCCCCAGGCTAATGCCTGAATCTTGTTTCCCACCCATGGCCATCCTTATCTGCACATTTTGTCCGGAAGTCTGCCTGCCTGTTCTATTTGTAGCAGCTGGGAGACTGAATCAAGATCCAGATTAAGGGTTGCAGTTGGAGTTCGGTAGAATGCTTGCCTGTTTCACTCAAGAACCTTGGGTTCTGTCCCAGCACCACATAAACTGGGGTTGGTGCCTACCTATGATGCCAGTATTTATTTGGGAGATGGAAGCAGAAGCGATCATGAGCTCAAGGTTATCCTGGCTGGCCTCAATATGTGTTTAAGAAAAGATTCAAAAGCCAGACCTGCAGGAGTATTGGGAGTCAAGGCCAGTGGTGGTCTCTAGACTTGACAATCTGAGTTCCATACCCAGGAGAGGCTACTCTAAAGTTGTCCTCTGACTTCCACCACACTTGAGTGGTGACATGTCTGTATGCTGAATAAGAGTGCAATTTAAAAAAGGGAAAAGGAGTTCAAGGCTTGCCTGGACTAGAAAGTCTGACTTGGGAACTTACCAAGACCCTGATTTTCAAAAAATAAAAATAATAATGGGTTGGGGTTGTGGGTCCAGGATGGAGTGCTGCTTTTGAGGTCCTGGGTTCCAGCCCTGTTACTGTAAAAGGAAAAACGCCATATTCTAAACAGGTGGGGGAACTGATTTTGAAAGCTACTGGAAGGAAGTCCTTGGGAGCTGACCACCGTCCGTTGGGGGGGGGGGCAGTCTTCTGTCCTTGGCCAGTGCTGTGATTGTGTTCAGACTGCCCTGGCTTGCTGGCTGTCTCAAGTCTGTGGGGTGTGCTTAAGCTATCACTGGCAGAGTGGGAGCTGCTAATACAGAGACGGATGTGTTGTGCCTTCAGAATACCACTGGTCTTCCACCTTTTTTTCTTTCTTTTCTTGTGGTATGTGTTAGGGATTGAATTTGGATACTTTGTATTTAATAGGCCAAGCCCTCTGCTACTGAAGCTGCATCTCCACCCCATAGAGGGGTATGTGTTTGTGTGTTTGTTTTTTGAGTCTCTTCATTCCAGGCTTGCCATGAGTGTCTGTGTAGCTGAGGGTGGACTTCACGAGTGAGTCTTCTCACCTTTACCTCACAAGTGCTGAGATGACAGATGTGTACCACTATACCCTTTGTGGGTAATTCTGGGGTTGACCCAAGGGCCTCATACATTGTAGGCAAGCCTTCTAGCACCTAAGCTGCATCTCTCTCTCTTTCCCGGAGACACTTCATTTTGAGACCGTGTACTGTGGTGCAGTGCCCATGTTGCTCCTTCCCTCAGATTTGGCTTTTATTTTTCTAAGATTTATTTATTATGTATACAGTGCAGTGGCATGTTTACACCAAATTTCATTACAGATGGTTGTGGGCCACCATGTGGTTGCTGGGAATTGAACTCAGGACCTCAGGAAGAGCAGCCAGTACTCTTAACCTCTGAGCCATCTCTCCAGCCCTGGCTTTATTTTGTTTTTTGTTTTTTTTTTCCCCTCAATATATGTTTTTATTTAAATTAGAGACATGAATGCTTCGCATGTCAATACCAGCTCCCTCTCCCACCCTCCTCCTTTGTCCCACTACCAGCCCCCCACCCAATTCCCATATCATTCCACAGGGAGGGTGAGGTCCTCCTTGGTGGAATCTCTAGAGTCTGTCATTTCATCCAGGGCAGGATTTAGGCCCTTCCCCCATGTGTCCAGGCTGAGAGAACATCCGTCTATGTGGAATGGGCTCCCAAAGTTCATTTGTACACCATGGTAAACACTGATTTCTGTGGCCTCCTCCCTGGCACTGCATTCATGGAGTCTGGATCAAGAGCTCCCCCTTGTCTGGTCAGCTGTCTTTGTGGGTTTTACCAGCACGGTCTTGACCCCTTTGCTCGTCACTCCCCCATCTCTGTCACTAGGTTCCAGGAGTTCAGTTCAGTGTTTAGCTGTGGGTGTCTGTCTCTGCTTCCGTCTGTCACTGGATGGAGGTTTGGTCCCGTGGGTGGAGCAGGAGACTAGGGTACCTTGGCTCCCGCTGCAGTGGCAGAGCCCAAGCCTATTTCTTTGTTTTTTTTTTTTAATAATTTATTTAAATTCATTTTATGTGCATTGGTATGAAGGTATCAGATCCTCTTGAACTGGAGGTACAGACAGTTGTGAGCCACCATGTGTCCTTGGAATTGAACCTGGATCCTCTGGAACAGCAGCACCAGTGCCTGCCCTTAACTGCTAAACCATCTCTCCAGCCCCTGGATTTTTGTTTTGTTTTGTTTTCGAGACAGGGTTTCTCTGTATTGTTTTGGAGGCTGTCCTGGAACTCCCTCTGAGGACCAGGCTGGCCTTGAACTCACAGAGATCCGCCTGTCTCTGCCTCCCGAGTGCTGGGATTAAAGGCGTGCGCCACCAATGCCCAGCCCTTGTTTTGCTTTTTTGAGACAGATTTTCTCTGTGTAGCCCTGGCTGTCCTGGAACTTAGTCTATAGACCAGGCTGGCCTCAAACAGAGATCTGCCTTCTGCCTTTTGCCTCCTGAGTGCTGGGATTAAAGGTGTACCAGCACCACCTGGTGAATTTGGTATTTTAAAGTAAACTTTTGGAATAATCAGAAAGGTTGCAAAGACAGCCCAGAGTAGAGTGCCAGGCTCATAGTTTTCCCCATGGGTCTACACTGCCTTTTTCTGTCCCAGGATCCCACCAGCTACAGCTTCCCCCCCCCTTGACCCATTCATGCTGAGTGGTGCCGCTTTCCACACTAGCTGCCATGCCCTTCTCCACGTGTGTGCATGCTTTGTGGTGGGCCATCAACCACAGAGGCCTGCCGCCTTACATCACCCTGAGCCTTGTCCAGTACACATGTGGGTCTATTTTCACGTGTCTGTCATGTGTGTTATTCTATCCCTGACCCTTACCCAGACTTAAATGGCAGCCTCACCTATCTCAAAAACAAAGTCCTGTGGGGAGCCAGGAGCAGGGGTGGAGCTGCTTAGAACTCTTTCCTAGTGCGGAGGGGCCTGAGCTGAGGAGTGAGGCGGCTAGTTGCAGGCAGTTGCATCAGCCCTGACTGATGGGTAGGAAAGGGTGAGGGAATTCTCTGGTGGCCACAGAGCACCTGGCAGCAGCTCCTGGGTAGCAAAGCCCTGGGTAGACGGTCCCAGGGCAGCGATGGGGCGGGGTCCTTGGACGGGTGTGCTGGCAGAACCTAGAGAATCTGGGGCTTTGTGCTAAGAAGGGGGCCTAGCATTCCACTGGCTCCTAGCTTGGTTATGGCAGGAAAGACTGAAGACTGGAAAGAGAAAGGAAGGGAGTGTCTCCTTGATAGAGCAGGGTTCTCCACCCTGCCGGGTCCCATGAGTCCTCAAACCCAGACCATTATCTAGGTTTGTTCTTTGCTTCGGTTGCTAGATGCTATCCATACAAGCTTGCCCTGGTGGAGACATACTTTACCAGATCTGTGTTTTCTTTTTTCCTTTTTTTGTTAGTATGCAAAGAGAGAGGTCTCATTGTGAAACTTCCAATATATGCTTGTTCTCGTCCATCCAGCTGCCTCCCTCGTCACCTGTACTACTGCAGCAAGCCCTAGTTTCCCAGTTGAGGGAACAGTTCTATGTGATAGAAGAGACTTGGGCTTTATGGGGCCTGTTAGTGGCCAAGGGTTGCATCTTGGTTTTCGTCTGCAGAGTAGGGTGAGCATCAGCCTGTCAGTTGACTTACCAATGCGAGTGCATGTGGCATCATATCTGGCTCATTTTCCTAAGTACCTACCTCGTACACTGTACTGCTTGGGTGTAGACAAGGGTGTAGCTGAGGGAAATCTTGTCTAGGAGCTCGGGGTCTGGTGTAGCTTCCCTTCCTATCCCACTATACTTGCACATTCTGACCAGCCTAGAAGATGGATGGATGTCTACATACGTGACCATTTCCTCCGGTGCATAGAGGACAAGTTCTGGACTTTGTTTTTTCCCAGAATCCTTCCCACAGCCCCCAGCACTGCCCCCACCCCCAGCAATACACTTCTGAATGAGTTGCC